TGCCATTAAGAGCTCTTCCTGCTTTTGCAGAGGACCTGGGTTCATGCCCCAGCACCTAACACCTGTATCAGGTGGCTCACAACTGTTTGTGACTCTCGTTCTAGGGAATCTGATACCCTCAGGCCTCCATGAGCATTTAGACACCCATGGCACATACAAACTCATGCATACACACACATACACATAGATAAAAATAATCTTTTAAAAAAAAATGTGACTGTGACCTTGGCTCCTCAAAGCCTATCCACTTGGAATAAAAGCTAATGCCCTTTGAGTGGTTTATAAGCATCACATGGTCTGTCTTCCTCTGACTTGTCCCAGCCACCCACACATTACAATTCAAGTTCCTATTCCACCCCCACCCTGTCAGACCATAAGCAACGTAAGGCTGTGAATTTTTCCGTATTTCATAAATTGCTCCAGCTGGGACTGGAGAGAGGCTCTGTGGATAAGAGTGCTTGCTTCTCAATCGTGAGGACTGGAGTGTGGATCCCAGCACCCACATGACACTCTGCTCACCTGGTGCACCGCCTGAAACTTCACTTCCTACTCGAAGCAGAGGTGGGAAGATGACTGGGTCCTGCTAGCTTCTACTGTGGCCAAGAAACTGTGAGCCCCGGGTTCAAAGAGAGACCTTGCCTCAAAGGAATGGGTAGAGGCTGATTGAAGGGTATACTCAACATCCTTGTCAGGCCTCTGAGTATACACATGTACAGACAAAAACACACACTCGTAGATTGATAATGAATCAGTCTTAAATAGTTGCAGCTAATGTAGCCACACAAAAGCCTGATTTTGGCATAAGAGCACAGTTTTAAAGAGTAATCCATTTCTAGATTTTTATGTCAAATCAGATAGTTAAGTATTGACAAGTAATAAAATTCCCTTTTAACACTGGGTGGTGGCGTGCACGCCTTTAATCCCAGCACTCAGGAGGCAAAGGCAGGTGAATCTCTGAGTTTGAGGCCAGTTTGGTCTACAGAGAGTTCCAGAACAACCTGTCTTGAAAAAAAAACCGAAATAACAATAAAAATTAACAACAATACTACTAATAATAATTTCCTTTTAACATTAAACATGGAACCAACACCAGAGGCTGGAGATGGAGATCTCTAAAAAATGGGCCCAGGCCTTCTCAGAGGCCCAAACAAAACGAAGGAGCAATGATCAGGTTTGCAGAGCAGGCCAGAGCCTTGGGGGAGTGGAGTAGAATGTTTAGTTTTACTCAAGGTCCCTTATTTACATATTCAGTAAGGGCCAGCAGGGGGCATTCAAGGTTTCCAAACCCCCACCCACCTCATCTCTTATCCTCCATCCACTAAGAACTATAGGCCAAAATTCAAGTTGCAGGGTGGGGACTTTGGTTTCCTCCCAGCTCACAAGTCAAAGGGGCAGTCCATCATGATGGGGAAGACCAGGCAAGAGCTGGAAGCTGCTGATGAGATAGCATCTGTAACCAGGAAACAGGGAGGGCCTGTGCTCAGCTGGCTCTATTCTCTGCAGTCCAGCCTCCCTTCCCCAGTGACTGGCCCTGCCCATAATCGAGATGGGTCGTCCTTCTCCATCTTGCAGCTGGAGAAATGGCTCAGAGGTTAAAAGCACTTGCTGCTCTTGCAGAGGAACTGGGATCAGTCCCCAGCACCCACATTGTGGCTCACAAAACACCTGTAACTCCAGTTCCAGAGGCTCCTTGGCCCTCTGACTTCTACAGGTACCAGTCACATATATGGGACATATATGCAAGCAAAACACCCATACACATACAATAAATCTAAATTATTATTTAAATAGGTCTTACCACATCAATTCAGGCATGGCCAGAGGCCCAACTCCTAGATCGTCTTAGTGACCAGTTGTCACCAAACTGACAATTGACAAGCTAACAGCGGTAGGTGGTGGAATATGAGTCTAGCTCTGTTTTGCCTAAGAGTGAATGCCTTTGTGAAACAGAAAACGCCAAAACGAGCCCCGTGGGGGACAGAGGGGATTGCTATGGTGGTTGAGCCTGAACCTCAATGAATCCTGCTTCATTCTCTGTTCCCAATCCCATACTGAAAGCTCTCATGATCCAAATCAGCCATGTCTTCCTCCCCTCAGGTCCCCATTGTCTCCCTTCACCTTCTTCCTTGTGGCTCTCTCCCTGTTGCTGTTTGATAACAGATCTGCTGCAGGAAAGAGGGGAGCCCTCGAAACTCTTTTAACAAATCAAGAATCAGCAGAGAGCAGGCAGAGGCACCAGCCCAGCGGTGATAGAGACCTTTTGCGAGGAATTGCGGAGGCAGCCAGCAACTCTCAGCCTAGCAGGGCTCAGGACTAAAATGCCAGAAGAAAGATCCATGGGCTGGGTGTCTTGGTACACCTCTGTAATCCTAGTGCTAGAGATGCTGAGGCAGGGGAATTGGCACATCTTTGAGATGAATCTGGGTTACACAGTGTGATCCACGTTATTCCTTTGGATCTGGTCCCTTTAAGAGCTAACCACGCCCACTCCCAGACACTTCTGACCTCTACGCCGCCATCTTAACTCTCTTTCTGTCCCCCGTCTATTGGCGTTTATACACCTGTCTCTGTCTCTCCCTATGTTTTTCTCCATGTCTCTCTGTTTTCCTCTTCTTTAAGTGATAAATGTCTCGCTCTTCTCTAAGTAATAAATATTTAGCTTTATGTATAGCCTTATGTCCATTTACTCTGCCATCCACCGCATCCAGCCGCCTGACTCTGCCGCTTTCCCGGGGAACCTGCACTGCTCTGGCAGCCTCTGCCTGGCTTGCAGGCCGCTAGGGGCATCTCAACCTATTATCTTTTTAAAGAACAATAATCCAGGCTAGCCTGGGTTACAGTAAAATATTTGATCTGATAAAAGTAAAACCAAAAGCTGGGCACGGTGGCACACTTTTATAATCCCAGCCCTTGGGAGGTAGAAATAGGAGGGTCAGGAGTTCAAAGCCAGCCTCAACTACATGAGAGCCTGGCTCAAGCAAACAGGAAACAAACAAACAACAACTACAAAATCCCAAGCCAAACAAAAGATCAGTGGGCCACTCCTTTGGGGATATTCAGATCTGCTCCTCTGCCCTGCCTCAGTCTTGTTAATGTGGCCTTCCGTGCCTCTCCACACCCTGCCGAGGATCCGTCAGGCCTCCTGGCTCTCTGGCTCCCTTAGTCCATTCAACCAGATGGCTCAGCTGGAGGAGCCATCCCTGGCTGGGGTCCATAACACAAGAGCAACAGGACATCTGTGTAGAGGTGCGGGAGGTGGGTGCAGGGGGCCTGCAGTGGTACAAACCCAGGTCTCAGCAAAGCAGATCCTGTCAACGCTGCTGCTGCCCCTGCCCCTCCCCCCCCCCGTCCCACACTTCTCCACAACTTGCCAAGATAACACAGAGTTCAGTTGGTCAGAGATGCCCCCATCCCACCCCCACTCCCACTCTTGGAAAGCCTTGCAAGAGAAAGCTCCCGCTGTGAATGCACTAATCAGATCCGGGAGAAGTGGCTCCCGCACCTTCCCCGAAATGTGATAATCCCGCTTCTAATTTACTGATTATGCAACAGGAAAATGTCCCGGTAATTTCATAAGAAGAGCACATTAGCCTGCTCATAGATCTCGAGTTTCCTGGTGAAATCAGGAATAATATCAGCTCCCTTTAATAAATGGCACCCGCATGGAACATCAAGAATAATTACTTTGTTTATTAACACGCGGTGATTAACATTTCAAAAGCAATTTAAATAAATACAGAGAGAATCTGAGGTGGGACCCCAAGGCAGTGATCTGGATGGAGTGAGGCAGTCATTTGAACTTGGCGTCATCAAAGTCGTGTTTTCAGCCAAGTGTCACCAGTGCTACACACCTGAAATCCCAGCCCGCAGGGAGGAGAGGCAGGAGAATCTCAATTTTGAGGCTAATGTGGGCTACATAGCAAGATCCTGTCTGAAAAGTCAACATGATTAATGTAGTATAATAGTAAATGGTGATACTCGGTGTTCTTTGTTGCCTGGCACCAATGTATGCACCAGCGACTCAAAGCACACCCGAGAATTCTAGGCCATGGCGAATGGATGCCAGACTCTTCCCCTAGATGTCCCTTCTGCAAGGATCCCAGCCCTGAGGCCCATAGTCCCTCTTCTCAGGTGTCTTCAAGGAATTAGAGGCTGTGTCCAAGGGTAAAACCCGCCCAGCTCGGCAGCAGTTGGTAGATCCTCAGGAGTATGCATTCAACAAATACAGAAGCATTTTGTTTAGGACTTGAGAGATGACTCATTGGTTAAGAACACTGGGTGGTCTTCCAGAAGACCTGAGTTCAAATCCCAGCACTCTTGTGGCGGTTCATAGCATTTGTTCCAGGAGACCTGACACCCTCTTCTGGTCTCTGCAGTCACTGCATGCATGTGGTGCATAGACATGCAAGCAGGCAAAACACCTACACATCTAAAATCAAAAATGAAAAGTTAAACATTTTGTTTTTGAGATGGGATCTTGTCAAGAGGCTCAGGCTACCCATGAACACCTAAGCTGAAGCCACCTTCCTGCGTCTTCCTTCCAAGGGGTTGGGACTGCGTGTGCACACCCATGTGGTCCCATGACCACAGCAGCAGCTCAAATCTTCTTAACCTGCTCTATGCCATGCAAACTTCCTGGACTCCTGTGGTAGGGATGCTAATGCTACTCAGGTGTCTCATTACGTAGGAAGATAGGAAGGACGGAAGGAGCAAACCTTGGGAGATGAGACTGCAGTTAGGTCCTGGAATGGAGATTGCCCTGGGATATTAGAGCAGATCCTAAAGACCACTTCATGTTGTAAAGAGAGGGGGCCCTTTGTTTGTTCCGGCCACTCGGCTTGCTTACACCCTAAATAATAACACAGAAACTGTATTCATTAAAACAC